GAGACCTGATAAAATTCTACTACTACTAAACACAGTAACTAAAAATCAGATAAATTAACACAATATTGTCACTAAATAAATCTAAATTATAATAAAAATTCATATTCATTCATATCAATATTCTCAAGCAATTCATAAAAACAAACAAATCACATAAACAAACAAATCATATAAACAAGCTAATCATACAAACAAACATATCAAGAACAAACAAATCATATAAACAAATCACACAAAAAACCAAGCTAGTCGTACAAACAAACAAATCATATAAACAATCAAATCATATAAACTAGCATGATTATGAAACATTACATAAACTTTCTGCTAAGCCATATAATGTACCTTTAAATAAAAATACCTTGTCTAATTTAGTTATTTTTCTCCCTTCAAACAAAAGTTTAAATATAATTTGATCACAAATTCACATCTAATGAGTTTGCATCGCTGAGACAGTATTCATGGCAACCAAAAACAATAAAAACAACAAAACAAAATATTGACAAAAAACTAAATCATCAATAGATTCAACTCTTATTTAAACACTTTCATGTATTTCAGTGTCAGAACTTGAACATAATTCCAAGTTATAATAAATAACACAAGACATTATCATTCGAAATTCATAAATAATTTGGCACTTAAGCTTTAGGCAGTTTGTAGCTTTTTTATCCTTCCAGTTTCAATTTTTTTTAAGTTTGGCTTTAAGTAAGTTGTAAAGTAAGACAGACACACATACAGACATGGAGATACCTGACATTTAACCATTGACCTGCTGAATTTTTAAATGAACTGGTCCATTTTACATTCTTTAAACTGTCCATTTTCAATTTTATCAAGATGAAAATGTAAATCAAGTCAGCCAAGAGTATGTCAGCTTTGATCAGACTGCACGGATGTTTAGCCTAGTCTGCCTGCATAATTGCCGCAAAGGTGAACCACTTTCGGTCACAGCAGGTTCAAGATTTAACACTGTGTGGTTTATGTGTTGAACTAGTAAGTCGCGTGGGTTCAAACCCTATCTGGGGCAATCTGTTGTTTCCATGGACAAGAAACTTTAAACTCATTATTTACAAAGGATGGTTCGAAAATGGATTCGGACGTGCTTCAATATGCTTATAACAAAAATCATACCAGTATGTCAAACTGCAAACTATGGCCAGCAATATTTAACGCAAATAAAAATCATACATATGTAGGATAGGAATTTTAGGATCCATACACCTATTTCTGGATGCATTAACATACACACGGGCATGTTAAAGTTTGATACTAAATGCCTATGTTTTTTGACACGAAATGGTAAAATAGAAACATGAAAATAAAGAGCACATTTCACAAGAAGAAGAACAACATGAAAATAATATAGGTCTATCATGGGATTTTTGTTGAACCGTAGTAAAATATTAAACACATAAAAATAATAAAATATATCAACATTTACAGCTATTTTGTTAGAAATTGTAAATAAAAATAAATATGGCAAAAAATGTACTTCTTCATTAAGGAAACAATAAAATAAATAATGAATAAATTAGGTAAATCTTACTGCGTCATGTTGCAATTAATTGGTAAGTATGCATGTCGATTTCGTAAAACGCACATGCTGCAATATAAAATCTGCTATGAAATTCCAGATGGGGAAAAATTTCCTTAATTAAAAAATTTGACATGGCAAGTCAAGGTCATTTCAGGGTCAAAGTGAACACATGATAATAAAACTGTCATTTAGCTTACATAAAATGTTATGGCCATGGTTAGAGTGGTATACATCAACAACAATGATAATATGCTCTTAGTCACACTGGCCCAGGGGGGAGGGAGGGGGGCTGGGGGAAGATGAATGATAAAGCAAGTTGAGATCATTTCATGTCAAGTTATTCTAAAATCATAATAATAAATCAGCTTCTAATCTAAGTTAGTAAATGTGCTTGAAAAACATTTATACACTCAAAGTTGTTTGGCAACTTTGCGACATTCACTGGCACATGAATTTACCAGGTGGCTTCCATTCAATACTAAATAGAATCATAAATCTGCTGGGAGGCTAATGGAATAGCTTTGCCTAAGAATGTTCTAAAAGTAATTGACAAATGGTACAATGAAATAAATCCCAAAACTCTGTCAATACAATGACAAAGATTAAAATGGCATGATAATGTTTACATAATAACACATGTACATTAAAGTGTGATAGTATTACATGCATCATAAGGCATATCACAAAACAATCTTCAACATTCCTCATAATAAACAATAAATTAAACCAAATATACTTTAAAACCTATGAATAGAACACAGCTGTTGTAATTAACTCCCAAGTACATCCATACAGCTAATTTCTATATGTGCGAATGGCTAAAATCCATGACATCACATTCATAAGTAGTGACATCAATTTGGCACCAGTGTGATTAAAAAAGAAAGCTGATACATTTTACTCCCTTGTTTTGGCATTTGAATATCTATGATAAGTTGATAACAGATTGATGTTGTCAGAACTGATGTACTTTAACACCAAACTATATTAAATCAGTGAATGATTAGTTATGGTACAAAACTTTCTATTGTAACTTTGTTACTTTTCCGAAAAATGCTTGCAGAAATTTTTCTATGCAGCAATATTATGATGAAAATATGTCGTAACATGATATCACAGATTTCTGCAAGCATATTAGGAAAAGTACAAAATCTACATTCGAAAAATATATATAAACTATTGGAATTGGTAAATGTTTGCTTCAAACATGGTAAATGTTGATAATTCAATTAATGATAAATATCAGGTAAAAGTTAGCAAATCCATATAAAATTATGGGCACGACCATTTGCAGATACACAATGTTACCATAACAACTGTCACATGATCACCCACCCTGATGATAGTAACTAAATTTATAAAGTGAAATGATTTACTTTTATAAAGTTATATGAATTACTTTTATAAAGTAATATGAATCACTTTTATAAAGTAATATGAACTATTTTTATAAAGTAATATGCATTAGTTTTGCAAACTAATGAATTATATTTTTTATAAATAAAAGTGTTCGGAATTCAAATTTTCTTCAAGCAATAATATAATCATATTACATTTAATTACCTGAATTTCATTTTCCTTACAGAAATAATGAATTACATTTAATAAAGCATATGATTGGGGTTTTTTATAATGCAACTTTATGAACAAAATTTTAAAAAAACCTGTCAGAGTGACCTAATTATTACAAATATTATATAAAGAAAGTGTTAAAACAAACATAAAATGTGTCATGATTAATAATAAAGTGCATATTCAGCAAAAAATGATAAATTGTGAAAATAAATGTGTGCATTTTTAGTAAAGTAAATTGTGACCAAAGAAAAGGCATCTTTCATAAAAGATGTTTTTTCTTTCCCACTTGTTAAATAGGGTACATAAATTGGAAATATTTAAATATTTGTCAGTCACTCAATGTCTGTATACATCAGCTTATCAATGTACAAGTTGTTGTTCACTTCGTCTTACAATAAACAATTAAACTTACAAAACTTACAAAAATACCATGTTGATGAACAAAATGAATAAAACAAAATGTGACTAAATTAAAGGTTGATTTATATTCCCATCTCTGACTGACTAGATCAGATGTGCAAATTAATTGGTGATAAACAAATGTATTAAACGTGCTTCATGGGTACATATATACAATGTTTATGCAAAATTAGCTGAAAATCACAAGATTGGTTTGAGTGAATATGTCCACTAAAGATAATAAAGAGTGTCATATCATACATGGACCATTAACCAATACAAAATAAATTGAATTCTACACACATAAACTCTATATCTAATACATACATGTACATGATACAGTCAACCCTATTTTGTAGACTAGCTCTAAATAGAGGGACCTTTAAAGACCTTAAATTCATTTCAAATATTCAAAACATTCAAGCCTACAATAAATGACCATTCATCAAACAATGTACAACTGCGAATATTACTAATATTCAAACAATTGTTTTGATAAAATTTATGAACATTACTTGTGCACAACTTTTTTGAGAAATGAACATTACAAGTGTACCACTGTTTTGAGAAATGAACATAACCGGTTTACAACTGTTTTGAGTAATGAACATAACTTGTGTACAACTGTTTTGGGCATGTGTCGATTTCAAAGACATAAATTTTTTCTTATTATTGTAGTATTGAATAATTACCTTATTAGTTATGATCAAACATTTAAATGAAATTTTAACACATTATAGTTTTGCGAATAGAGCTCTGGACGGATTTATAGATATATGCTACTCAGAAACAATTAATTTACTTTTGTTCAATTTGAATAAAAAATAAAGCCTAGAAAAAAGCCATCTGGAAATTTCTTTTAAAAGCATTAAATTCACAGCCTGATATTTTACTGACGAGACAAAAATAGTCTTAAATATTCATGCTCATCAAAAATATTAATAAAAATCAAGCAAATTTGATTTTGGTCTTGAAAAACTACCAGTAACTGTGAATTTTTGGACATTCCCTGAAATGTTTGGTTCTTATTTCATATGAGAAAAAAACAAAAATATTAAAAACTCAGAAAATGCTTAGTATTCAAATATTACTCCCTTTTTTGTCATTTATCAAGGAGCATAACTCTGAATAGTAACACATTTTGACATGGTAGAAGACAAATGTAAATTTATGCCTGAGAATTTTTTTTGTAACTTTTCATGTGAAAACACTGTTATTTCCTGATTTTAAATCACATATAAACAGTGAAAGTTAAGCAATTTGAAATGGTTCAAAAATGGGATGTTTCTAACAGATCTTTTACTCCTATTAACGGAGGTCCGTTTTTATTCTTTTATATATATATTAACGGAGGTCCGTTTTTATTCTTTTATATATATATTAACGGAGGTCCGTTTTTATTCTTTTATATATATATTAACGGAGGTCCGTTTTTATTCTTTTATATATATATTAACGGAGGTCCGTTTTTATTCTTTTATATATATATTAACGGAGGTCTGTTTTTATTCTTTTATATATATTAACAGAGATCTGTTTTTATTCTTTTATATATATATTAACGGAGGTCTGTTTTTATTCTTTTATATATTAAGTAAGAATTGAGATAATACCCTATCATATAAAGATGCTAATGATTTTTTTTAAGCTATATCTTCTTTTAGGTTTTGATATATATCAACTCCAAACTTGAGATGTCACATCATTTTTCTACCTATATCTTTATCGTCATCAAAGATGTTTTTCTTCTACTCCATTTCTTTTATCATCAGTGACCTTCACCTGCAGCTCTGTCCCCTGCAACAGCTCTTCCGCGGCGACTGCTATGACGTCGTCCCTCGCCCACGGTTGCATTTCTCCCGAGGCAAATATTCCGTAGAATACCGAGCCAAAAATATAGAATCCACCAGCTATATAGAACACTATTTGCCACTGTTCCCGAGACTGGTCCTATAAAAACATAAAAACAAAATTACCATTATTTATATTTTTTCAGTACCTATAATTGATAGACCCTTGCAAATAAACATTTGTAAAACAACCATGATTCCAAAGGAAACTTGTCTTCATATCTTTAGATTTGATCATACCTCAAAGAAATCAATTTTACCAATTACCAGATAGTTATGTAACCAGACAATAAAAAAACTAGACCTATCACTGAAGGTGATTAATACCCCCACCAGCAACTTTGACTTTTTGAAAAAAAAGTAGTCTGAAGAAAAATTTGAACACAAACTATCAACTGTGTACAAAGAAATATTTCAATTTATTGTAATCGCAACTGGGGTCTCGAAATAAGCTTGCTAAGTTTGATTACAATATCTCATTCCTAACTCTAGTTATTGTCCGGAAACCATTTTTCTATTTTTAGTAACACTGTAACGGTGACCTTGACCCTAGGGGGTCCAAATGATATACCAACCCAGGTCTTCATATAAGCTTGCTATAGGCCAAGTTTGATAACAATATCTCATTCCTAACTCTAGTTATTGTCCGAAAACCATTTTTCTATTTTTCGTAACGGTGACCTTGACCCCAGGGGGCCCAAATGCAATACCAACCAAGGTCTTCATATAAGCTTGCTATACGTCAAGTTTGATAACAATATCTCATTCCTAACTCTAGTTATTGTCCGGAAACCATTTTTCTATTTTTAGTAACACTGTAACAGTGACCTTGACCCTAGGGGGTCCAAATGCAATATCAACCCAGGTCTTCATATAAGCTTCCTTTACACCACATTAGATAACAATATCTCATTCCTACCTCTAGTTATTGTCCGAAAACCATATTACTATTTTTCCTTACGGTGACCTTGACCCCAGGGGGCCCAAATGCAATACCAACCCAGGTCTTCATATAAGCTTGCTATACGCCACGTTTGATAACAATATCTCATTCCTAACTCTAGTTATTGTCCGGAAACCATTTTTCTATTTTTAGTAACGGTGCCCTTGACCTTGACCCCAGGGGGTCAAAATGCAATACCAACCTGACTTTCCACATAAGGTTGCTATACACCAAGTTTGATTACAATACTTCATTCCAAACTCTAGTTATCGTCCGGAAACCATGATGTGGACCGACCGACGGACCGACCGACAGACAAGCTGACTCCTATATACCCCCCCTAAACTTCGTTTGTGGGGGTATAATAACTAAGTTAAAAGTGAAATGGTCTATAATGGAAATAATTGTATCAATAGCATTCAGTATTTAATATAAGAACAATCAACAAAAGAATTGTGTATGTGTCTTGTTGACAAGTGTGAGATACATGATCTGATATAACATACCGTATAAGTGGTTTTTTCTGCGGTGACTTTATTTCTGCGTTTTCTGCGGTCAGCTTCAGCACCGCAGAAATAAAAACCGCAGAATATTTCTCCACATTTTTTTTAAAGAAATGAGTTCTACATTATGACCTGTTTCCTTTAAAGGAATAAAGACTAACGGATTATAACGGTTAGCGGGTCATCGAGTTATATAAAATTGATTTCGGCTAAATATGCAATATGTGCATGTAAGGATGTAATTGTTGTTAATTATGCCAATTTATGAACAAAGAAATTCAAACATCATAGTGTTTGCCTGTACGCTAAAGGGTTTGTTTACCACTAAATCATTAAAACCATTTAAACCCTTATACTGCTAAATAATCGTCGTATACATTAATTGTTGTCTGATTTACGATAAACTTCTATCAATTTTATAAAATTAAAGATACTACCGTGGTATATTTTTCACACGTCATTTCACACTGATTTAAAGATGCAAACTGTCTATTGATGCACATTATATTTGTTTGCAAGCAAACAATATAATTGTTTGTAATTACTATATAATATAGTTCTGCGGTGACGACGGTAAACAAAATTTTAATGCGAATGTGTACATGCAAATAAAATAGGTAAAGTAATGTGACTTAGACTTTGATAAGATGAGCCGCAGAATTAAAATCACATTTTGTCCAAAGAATGTGCCGCAGAAATTAAGTCCGCAGAAATAAAAACATGCCAAAATTTTGAAATACCGCAGAATTTGGAGCCCGCAGAAAAAACCACTTATACGGTAATATTCATATAGCAGAATGACATAATAAAATGTTCTAGTACCAATTATCATTATTAATCATATAAATGTTCATAATAAATCACTTAGAACCTTATCAACATTGTTTATTCAAGAAATATTTTATTAGAATAAATTATACAAATGATACAATTCTATTGTTGTTTTTTTTTCATTTTTTTTTAAATATTTATGGTAAATGTGCCCACTGCAGACCTTATCCACTTTAAGCTGCTCTCTATATCTCATGATATTTAGCAATATTTAGGTAAATTTGATCATTTTTGACTTAATCTTTATTTATGTACATGAAAGTCTAAAAATAAAACAATTAATGGGCCTTGTTTGAATGACCAAACCAAAATCTTTTTTTTATGTTTCCCTGCAAGAATATTGGAAAAAAGTGAAGCAGTAAGCACTAAATCAACATATATCAGAAAGAATATGCACACATAAAGAGCTGAAATCATCTCTCGAAATTTATACTAGAACTATAATCATTTTATCAGACAAGTCTTGCATGTTTAGTATGTGTTTGACAGAAAAATGTTTTTGTTTTTTTTACCTTCATGCCTGACCCTGCCCCTAAACTAAACAAAGTTAACAAATATTTTTCCAATTACAGCTTACTTAAGCACCCAAGCAAATATCATAAGACTTTTACCCAACCTGTGAGATTTTTATTCCAAAGGTTACCATTTAATTTTTTTTTATCTCTTAACATGAAGTTTTAATATGCTATATACAAACAAACAATTCAAGTTTACTTAACTATATAGATTTTGATTCTAAGGTCATGAAATGAAATCCTAAAACTATTAAGATTCTCTTGTTTTTCTTTTTTTTTTTGTCAGGTTTTAAGTTATATAAACACATATGGCTACTTTCTAGCTTTACTGGTAGAGGAAGACGTTAAGTGTCTCTCCCTGCATTATTTCAGACACCAGCAAAGATTTAAGAAGAACTATCGACTTTTTGTAAGCCATCTTCTTTACTAAAAGACTCCAAAGTCTAAAAGTCTATAGCAGAATTTAAAGTCATATTGTGACAGGCAAGTGGTTAAAAGCCAACCTTGACTATTTGGCTATGAACCCATCCCCCACCCTCCCCCTAACCGAGAATAAATGTAATAAGTTGTAACCTGTGTTTGGAGCATGTCAGTCCCAATACTTACCGATTCAAGGGGCAAGTACAATTTTGCATCAAAGATCAGAGGGAACTGATGTTCAGAACTAGTTAAATTTTCTTGTAGAGAATTTGGGTTTAAAATCTTAGCAATTAAAAACATATGTGAGGTAATTCACTAACACACTACTGACTTAACAACACGTAAATGAGGATATTTACTGATACACACTTCCAAAACAACACTGAGACAAAAATTCTTAAAATAAAAAAGATATAAAAAAAATATCATAAAGGCACCAGATTATAAGAAATAAATTTGACGCATTATATATATAAAATGTGGCAATGAAAAGGTTACGATCTTTTAACATTAATACATCCAAAATCACATAGTGGTATCGCACATTTAAGTTACTGAACTTAAAACACATTTTTTTAAATGATGTGCAATATCTTATAGCTGCATGTCTCCAGATGAGCCAAAATATTTTTAAGAAAATCAAACTTGAGAAAAATGAACCAAGATTTTAAGAAAAGTAAAATGATTCAAGATTCAAGTAATAATTTAAATGTAATTTGCGATTAATGGCTGATTTTCCAGTATAAATCACCATATTTCTACTGCTTGACTAACGTTTTCAGAGCTACTTTCTCACATTTTGACCTCTTTTTGGTAATTTACACTAAGTGCCGTGTGCAATGTGTAAATTACTTTCTTTGTTCACTTCACAATATTTTACTTTTAAATACATTTCAAAATTTTCATGAAAATTTGCATAAATTTGGAGTTATGCTGCTTTAAGAAAAAAAATACATATTTAATGAAACAGTCACAGTTTAAAAGTGTGTATCAGAAAAACACAGTGAATAGAAGGTGAAAAAGTTTGAAAAATTAAAGTGACATTAATACATCCAAGCATAAATGGTGAGTGTTCAGGGAAAATTCAAAAGAACTTCACATTTTGACGTAACTTTTTCAAGTTTATACATGTATTTTACTTCGCATTAATATGAATAATCAATAACACATGTGATGTGACTCAAAGAAATATTCATATTATATTCGTTGGCATTTATCAGTAACATTAGTGTGTAGTCTTTTATATTTTAAGCAACTTTTAATATTATATTCTAAACATTTCTCATTATATGTTATTAGTCAATCACTATTACATATTACAGTTTTGTTTTAAAGGTACATATCTACATCTAGTACAACTAAACTTGACAAGCAGGAAATGAGCATACTGCATACTGTCGTCAAGATTTCATTGAGAAAAGTAAGGCATTTCATTGAGTATTTATATCATGATATTGATAAGAAATAGCAATTTTTGTATCATTACTATATAATAAACTCAAGAAATTAGAATATAAAAGAAATATAAAGAAAGCATTGATCTTTGCACCACATGTAAGCTCTTGTGAAAATTTAAGCAAAACCATCACGAAGCTGAACAAGAATGTTGACATGATGCCACTTTAAAAATGATTAAAAAACTTACTTTTTTGGTTTTGTTTGTTTGAGTTTTATGTCACACCGGCACAGTATACTGTATAGGTCATATGGCGACATTCCAGCTTTACAAGTGGAGGAACGAATGGGCACCTGAGTAGAACCACTGAGGTTCTGTAAGCTAACAGCATAGCTTCCTCACATGAAAAAATCCAAAGTCCCTGTTGGGATTCGAACCCACAGCAGTGAGGGGCAAGTGGTTTGAAGTCAACAAAATTAAACACTCACAACCGATGCCGCCCTTATAGTTTTGTTGGATTTTAAGTGACTCTGTAAAGGTCAAAAGGTCAAATGGCATTTTCCAGATTTTCATTGCAACAAGGCATCTAAGTAGAACGCTAGCCGCATAGTTTCCTCACATGAATGAGTCCAAAGTCTCTGATGGGATTCGAACCTGCAACCTCGCCAGGGGCAAGTGATTTTAACTTGGTGACAATAATCATTTTGCCACTTAGGCCATAACTTTGAACTGATAAAATTTTTTAGCCAGTGACCTTTACTATTCCGATATCTACAAATGGACGATTACAATATCTACAAATGGACTATTCCAACCTCAAATCAGATCCATTACAAAAATTTAACAGGATACGGATCATCCTGTTTAATTCACAAAAATCACATAACATACATAACAGAGATCAACAATAACTACAGTTAAACTCAAACTGTGAGAAATGAAAAAGACATAGAAATGTGTAATGACAAAGTGAAATTTAGAAAAAAGTTATTCTTGGAAATATATGCTTAGCACAGGGAGTCACTTACCAAACAACCATTAGTTTTAAGAATAATTTTCCAGACAAGTGCAAAATAATTTTTCAAGTCATCATTTTCTCCAAAATTTAAATCATTAACATTCAAAATATTATGTAGAATTAAATACTTTCAGATGATAACGTATGAAATATTATTTAACATCGGCCTTTAATAAGAAAGATAGTTATATATACCTCTGCAGAAGCATCTTTGGTCTAAATTGACATTGGGAAATAAAATATTCAGATTAAAGAACTAAACTATTATGTTTATAAAAACAATAAAACAAAATAAATACAGAATGTTCATACAGCGTTTTAATTGAAGTGTCTCTTAAAGGTGAAAATGCTTGAAAATGTCAGAAAAATGTCGGACATATACAATATGTGCACAGTGCAGGCACAAAGTTAGAATAGTAGAAATTTGTAACATAATTTCCCCTTAATAGGTGCATAAAACCGTATTTATCGTAACATATTTTATTTCATGTAAATTTTATTAAAGTCAGAATTTTACACTTGTTTGGCAGTAAATAGTGTAATATACTGGAGTTATATATTAAAGCATAAAATATTTAACAGCAAGGTGTTAGTTATATATATGGTTACCAATTAAAAGCAAAGTGTACAATTCCACAATTTTTCTGCCCTTTGGTGTAAAGAAATTGGATAATTTGCTTTCCTTAAAAGCTAATTTTGACATTAGTTTCTAAGTCAGCATGAATATGCCACTTTTGCAAAACAACATTACATGCCTGACATTTGGTCAGGCTATCCAGAATATTTTCATTGTAATGTCAAATAAATATTTATTGACGATTTCTTTTATAAATGATTAATCATGCCTGACTAGTTGCATGCTGAAGTTATCTTGGCCACTCTGCCATTATGACTTACAATATTAGATAGGTAACATTCCGGAAACCTGGGTAGAAAATTTATGTATTTGTACATTTTATATTTGAATATACTGGCTTTATAATGGTGTATATAAAGCTATACAGATGCATTCACAATGTCAATAAAAAAAATATTGATTTAAATACACAACTGCATTATAATTATATTCTCACCTCAGTTATCACGCCAACAACATATGGTGATAAAAATCCCGTCACAGCTGCAATAGAGTTTGTGATACCAAACAATATCCCCGCAAACGCTGGAGCAATGTCCATGTGGTTTACAATCCATCCGCTGTACTGGAACCCGGTTGTTGCCACGCCCAGAACCAGCAGGGCAATAGCAAAACCAGGCTGGGTACAATCCACGTAACCTAGACAAATCAGTAGAGCAGCTGGCAACAACATTCCTAGAAAATAAAATACAATCATAGACAATAAAATAACTACAAAACATTCCTATGAAACAAAATGAAAACAAAAGTGTAAACATTCTTTGAAAAGTAAATGAACACATTGGCACCCCTTTATAATGCTTAAATTGGGATCCAAGGACTTAAAAAGCAATATATACAGGTTTTTATATATGATATCCATCTAGAGATCAGATTGTTGAAAGGAAGAAATTCATTGTATTACCCCAACCACATACATACAACGGCAACATTTTGTTATATTTCAATCAATGCAAATCATTTTCATATAATAATAAATCTATTTCTTAATCATGTAAATAATTGAAACAAATATTATGTTGAAAAATATTATTAGGCAATGTACTTCTATTAGAACAACGAAGAGCTGTCCATAGGACAACATGCTCGACTATTCTCAGTGTTTGATAGCAAAAAAAGAGCTTGGATAATATAGAAAAATCTGGGTTCAAAAGGGGCAATTATTCTGTCAAAAATTAAACTGTGACTTAACAGCCTAGTATAGCCTCACTTTACCTGTGATGGTAAAAGCCTTTCTTGTGATGGTTATAGAACAACAGCCTTTAGACATGATAAAATCAGCAATCCAGCCTGACACATTTATCATGGCCCAAAACACTATGTAAGGTAACGCAGAAAACAAACCATTCTGAAAAATTACAGAAGAAAAAAAATCAAGAACATAATAAACAAAGTCACCTGTTACATGTTTGTTTGATTGGGTTTTACGTCACACTGACAAGAGTATAGGTGCCCTGGTCATATGACGATGTTCCAGCTTTTCTAAAGAAAGACATCAAAGTGCGCTTCAGTGCATTATTTCAAGCATAAACGGGCACCTGAGTAGAACCACCGACGTTCTCTAAGCTAGCTGGATAGACCACTTATATGGAAAAGTTTATACCATTTCAGACCTCTTAAAATTATAGTGACTTCCCAGAGAGCCTGTAACCCTCAACAGATTTTCAGTTCGAGTCTGTTAAATGTTTGATGGTCAACTGTTTGGACACTATAATGGTAAAAGGCTCTCAGCAATGTGTACTATTTTTCATATAATGGCATATCTCTTATTTTAGAAGATTTTGCATCAATCTTTTCTATTTCTCTCTGAAACAAAATATTATTTTGCTAATTTAAAGTAGGGTTTTATCTGTTAAGCAATGATTTCATGCATGCAGCATTAGTTGTTAAGACAATTTACTAACATGTTTGCTTCATACAAGCATTTTGGAAGAATTCTTGAATTTTTCAAAATTCTAATAAATTTTTTTTTTACAGTTGATATATAGCTTAATACACTTCAATACTTACAGCAGATATGTCTAGTTTCAACACTTCATTCATATATGTTGGTATACTAGTCAACAAAGTGTATGTTCCCCAGTCAGTGGTAATATTAGCTACCAAAATGGCTATCACAGGCATTGATAGGGCCATGCCCTTCCATGGAACATCTAACTTCTGAAAAAATTAAATTAACTGTAAGTCGCAGTATTCTTCCAATCTTCCAAGTTCATGATAAAATAGTTTTTCCATGTTAAAAACTTTTTCATTGTAGCTTAAAAGATGTTATCTGGAACTCGGCAAATGTGGATTTTTCTGAACTAATGCCCCAGTACAAACAAATTTTAACTACTATAACTTCAAGGTGCACTCCTGGTCACAATAGATTAGTCAACCTGTTGCACTTACTTTTGAAGCTGTAACATTAAAAGTTTGTTAGTACCCACAGGTTTGCTTGGAAAAATCCTTAAATATTCTAATAAGTAAGTCTATTGCTATGATAGCTATCATCTGTACTGTTAGTTGTAAGTTTTAAATGAAACACTTAGGCAGAAGGTCATAAGAAAATTCGGCACTTATTTTGAAAATTTTTCCTAAAACTGATGAAAACTTTTGTCCAGATTAAAAGATTGGACAAGTTCAAATCATAATTGACATAAATTTATTCCATACATTTTAGAGTTGGAAGAGAAAATAATCTTTGAACCTATGTATTATTTATAAGCAAGTTATGGCTGAATAAATTCTGTAGAACCTATTTAACTTAAGGGTAGCAAACTCAACAATAACCAAAAATTGACCCAATAACGTATCTCAAATACTGTATAAGTGGATATTTCCTGTGTCGAAAAGCTAGCGAATTAAAACCCCAGACATACGAGACAGTGAGAATATATATGCAAATCATGCAAGGGTAGAATTTAATGACAGGTTGGTTGATATTTACGCTAGAGGTAATTTAATATAGCAATTTTCATCAATTCGTGAAATTCGCAAATATTTACACGTCGCTAACTTAACTGCTTATACAGTACACTAACCTTATCACCATCTGAGTTTACGCTATCTTTCAGGGCATGTTTGATGTAATTTCTCTCAGCTTTCGTTATTCTTTTATGTTGAGATGGGGTATCGCTCACAAAAAACATCCACAGTACAAACCAAACAAAACTTAATATTCCTGAAATTGAATAAATTGAATGAGAATGATATTTCATAGAAAAACAATACATTGTAATTTGATATAAAAACTCCTCACTTTATAAATGGACTAATCAAAAATCAACTTTAGCACTACATTCGTAAGGTAAGAAGCATTAAACATGCTTGTAAGTCATGCATTTCAAATAACATTATAAAACATATGAGCCGTGTCACGACATAACCAACATAGTGCGTTTGATACCAGCATGGATCCAGATCAGCCTGCGCATCTGCGCAGTCTGATCAGGATCCATGCTGTTCGCTATCAGTTTCTCTACTTGTAATAGGGTTGGTAAGCGAACTGCATGGATCCTGATCAGACTTCGCGGATGTGCAGGCTGGTCTGGATCCATGCTGGTCGCAAACCCATTATGTTGGTTTTGTCATGATGCGGCTCATATATTTCCCCTTTCTAAGAAAAACACATTTTGAGATGGTCATTTTAGCATACAACTGCCTCCTTATGACAAATTATTAGCCTTTATTACAATTTTCCTACAACTACATGTCAATTTGTTTTCTTATAAATCACTAATGCAAAACTCATCTGAAGAGTACATCTGTATTTCTCAGAATTGATATTGACCTTATAGTATATGATGTATAACAATGGTGTAAAAGAATGATTGCAGAGGAATATAATATTATAGAGGATATTCAAGTTTATTATATACTTAAAAATGAAATATTGAGAAATATTGATGAAATAAAATGCGTATTTTCATTTCCCGTATTTTCACTCTAAAAATTTATTTTTCACTGCAGTGAAACATATTTTCCGTATTTTCTCTGGTGTCTTGCCGGACTACTTTCTTTTAAATTCTGCCAGTACACAAAATTTAAGGGAAAGTCTTTCAAATTTTAATGTCAAAAAAGAGAAAAATGTATATAATAAACAGAAAATTCAAGTTTTTTCTATAAATACATGATTTATTTTCATCTTGTGGCATGAAAATTACCATATTTCACTCGTGGCTACCGCCACTCATGAAATATTTATTTTCATACCACTCGATGAAAATAAATCATGTATTTATAGACAAAACTTGAATATCCTCTATTTCTTCTATAAATACATGATTTATTTTCATCAAGTGGTATGAAATATGGTAATTTTCATACCACAAGATGAAAATAAATCCTGTATCAATAGAATAAACTTTATTTTCTGTTTATCATATACTTTTTTTCTTTTTAAAACTTTATGAAAAGGAAGAATGCCCTTTTAATTTTCTGTAATATCTGAATATAGAAATAAGTAGTCCGACAAGACACCAGTGAGTATACTAAATATATGTTTCACTGCAGTGAAAAATGAATTTTTACAGTGAAATACGAAAAATAAAAGTATGCATTTTATGTCATTAATAATTCTCAATATTTTATTTACAAGTATATAATAAAAACATTTATCTCTCATATGACACTGCCATATCTATATATACATACCTAATACATAAAATATAGATGGCCAACCACCAGCAAACCCGTATTTACAGAGTAGACCTGCTAGAGGGAACGTGATAACATTGCCCACCTGTGCCCCTGAAAATAAACATTTATATAATAAATGTTAAATCTATATTATAAAGCATAGATAATTGAAAATTTCCAGTTAGTTAGTTCATTCGCTTTCCATTAAAAATCTGAACAGTCAATATTTCCATATTAAGAATTAATTTTAATTTCTCCCCGTCATATGTACATTTACGAGCTTTTTTTTTAAAGTAACATACATGTAATAGTACATGTATGAAAGTCATGACTGTTTTATATAAACAAAATTATTCAAAATACAATCATGACATAAATAATCATTAATATAAAATTTAATGTTGAATCAAAGTTACGACATAAATAATTTTGATGGTAAGGTTGTGTTTTGTTTTTTCATTGAAAAAGTACATATATATTATTACAAAAATCACCAAAAAAGTATTTTTTTCCAAATGAATTTGTAGTGCTCTGTAAATGTACATTTTACCAACATAGGTAAATGCTTTGTATACCGTACATACATGTATATAAGTAAATGTTTTATATAGGGTAGTAACCTACACATACAATGTTGTATGTAGTGTAAAAATTCGAGAAAAACGATTATATGCTTTATCAATGGTATATAACATAATCACAGATGGTACCTACCAGCATAAGTAAAAGCTGCCAATTTACTTCGCTCCAGTGGTGGTGCCCATGATCCCCATAGGGCATGCATTGATGGATAACAAACACCCTGGTAATAAAAGAACAAAAAAATAACTGTATTTATTTCCAATTTATGTCAAATATTTTTCAGTTTATCTTAAAACTATACAATGTTTAATGTACATTGATTTTTTTCTTATTTTTTTTAACAGCCGAATAAAGTTCCCCCTAATCCCAAAAAGCCAAAGTGTACCCCGAGGATGCTTTATTCCCCCCCCCCCCCCCCCTGAAATGCCCTGAGACAATTTATCACCAAAAGTATGACTTAGCCGAATTAGATAAGCTTGATGATAAATACAATAGACTGAAAGACAAAAAGCTGTCAGTATAGATAGTGTCTGCTCTGTACCTTGTGTGTTCAACTGAAATAAATAATAAATTTGATTATATATGGCTTGCTCCTTTTTTCAGTTAATTTTTTAATAATCATTTACCCCTTTTTCTGATTTTTCACGCTATTTTTTTCCCCTTTAGAAACTCACAGGTTGTTTTGAAAATTCATAAAAAAGTCACTGATTATACTAAAATAATCAATTAAAAAAAAAAGATGATTTATAGCGAGAAATCAACATACTAACCGAGGTTATCCCAACAATGACACGTAAAACTATCAACATAATATAGTGCGTTTGTGCTGCAAATGGCGTGAGAAATGTAGCGATAGTTGCCCCTAACATACTGTATCCCAAAACCCTCTTTCCTCCCACTTTAGTTGCAAGCCAGCCCCCTGGAATTTGGGTGAGCAGGTAGCCCCAGAAAAATGATCCCAGTATCACACCTTGTATAGACTTGTTCCATTCAAATTCACCATCCTAAAGAAAAAGATAAAATCAGAGTGACAGAAAATCAAGTATGAGAAAAATTGAGTTGTTTTTTTAGTATGATAATACAAATCGTCGCATCGTTGCCTTTTTATTAAATATACTGTGCTAAGATGATGTAATATTTAATTTATATTTACAATATCATTTGACATTATATTACAAGACTATAATGTATAATTAGAACTCATTTACAAAATATAGTACTTTAAAGAAACTTTATCATCAAACATTAATACTGCACTGCCACAGAATTGCTTTCTTCCTTCAAATTTGAAAAAAAAGAGCTTGAAAGAAGCACTTACATATTATAATCACATTCACATTGAACACTTCATTAAGTGCTAAGATATCTATACTCCTTACAAAAATTTCATTCTTCAAAATCATCTACATAACCACATAACCTCATAACCTTTATAGAGCACCGCCCTTTGCCCTTTGGAAGACAAAAATTTTGTTTGTTGCAGAGAAGTGATGCTCTAGAGGTATTTATTAACCTTTTGCTTAAGTCTTACTTTTACTTAGTGGTCTTTGTATTATTATTATTGTTATTGCTACACAAAGGGTTGCTCAATAGAGGTTTCACTGTACCTGCATATCTTTGCTACTTGTTCCATTGGCATCGACTGCCCCAACCATTCCACATTGGCTACTATAGCTGCTAGTCTGTGATCCATTACCACTTGTATTGGCATCCTTTAGGCGGAGAGCTGTCTGATTAACCATGCATACAATAGCTACACTCATATTCACACGTAGGGCATATACATTCACAAATCCAAAAAATCCCAAAACTGCGAGCGCTAGACGACAGGAGGTCCACCATGGTACTGAAACGCACATAAATTATTATTCATCAATATCATTAGTTAAAATGTTGTATAATTCTGTTGTATTTTTAGCCTGTATGTTAAAACATCCCCTTTTGCCCTTTGATCCCTGGTTAATTAACACATGTTTTCTTTAATTAGCACATCTGTTGTCTCAGATAAAAAATGAAAACCTGTATGATATTATGAATAATTATATACATAAAATTCAGTTTCAGATCAAAAATATCAATAAAAAAGTGTTATTTGGATAACCTAGCTGAAATGTTTATATCATCATCATCATCTCAAGTAATTGCATCACTCCGCAAGGAGTATACTCGCAATCGGATAAAAACTGTATATACATACGCAGCAGGCAGGACTGACTGTTTTCCAAAATAAAAAGTTTCCTTATTTATAGTTTCTAAACAACTCCGTGATTAGTATTTTATATGTTGGCTGGCCAGAGCTGATTGGAAAGCATCCAGGCTGGTCTGTCTGGTCAACAACGTCTTGCGGCAGCTTGTTCCAAAGCACGATGGTTGCGGGAAAGAAACTATTTTGGAAGATGGAGGTGCGTGCTCTGATTTGGCGGAAGCGTTGGTTGTGCCCTCTGACAGTCTTAGCATTGGTAAGTGGAGGATCTGGTATAATATCCACAAGGTTGTGCATTATCTTGAAGAGCATAGTTGTTCTGGTGTTGTTGCGCCGGTGTTGGAGGGTGTCCCATTTGAGGTCGGTAAGCATGTCGGTGACGCTGCTTGTTCGCGTGTAGTCTTGTTTCACGAATCTTGCAGCGCGACGTTGGACCATTTCTAGTTGGTTGATAAGACCCTCAGAGTGAGGGGACCAGACAGATGAGGCGTATTCAACAGTAGGTCTGATATATGTCTTGAAGGCATTAGACTTGGCGCTTGGAGGGCTAGATCGTATGTTTCGCCTGATGAATGACATGGTGGAGTTAGCCTTTTTGGTGATGTTATCGATATGTTTTTTCCATGAGAGGTCTGAAGAGATGGTGACTCCAAGATATTTGGCATGATCTGCAGTGTTGAGTTCTTTTCCGTGGATGCTATAGGTGTTAGTACTAGGTTTTCTTTTTGTTGAGATGTGGATGACTTCACATTTGTCGGGATTAAAAGCCATCTGCCAATCATCCTCCCAGGATTGGAGACAATCAAGGTCATGTTGAAGTTGGCGTGAGTCCTCAAGGCTACGGATGATTCTATGCAATCATCGGCGAAGAGTCGAGCCGTGGATTGGACTTTCGATGGTAAATCATTGAATTGATGTAGGCCAAGAAAAGAAGAGGGCCAAGGACGCTGCCCTGAGGGACACCAGAGGTGACAGGTGAGGTAGCTGAAAAGGAGCCCTCAAGGACAACCTGTTGTGTGCATGACGAGAGAAAGTCTTCAATCCAGGAGTGGGTTGTGCCTCTTATTCCATAATGGTCCAGTTTCTGAAGGAGACGTGAGTGTGGAACTTTATCAAATGCTTTTGAGAAGTCAAGCAGAACAGCGTCAATTTGATGGTTGTTATCTATTCCTTTGGCTAAGTCATTGATGGTCATTAGTAGTTGAGTGTCGCAGGAGCGTTTTTTTCTGAACCCATGTTGGTAGTCAGAGAGGATGTTGTGTGAGTCAAAGTGAGACATGATGTTGCTGAAGATGATGGGTTCCAGTACTTTGCAGGAGATTGATGTTAGAGAGATAGGTCTGTAGTTGGATGGTGATGAGTGATTTCCTTTTTTGAAGACAGGTGAGACAAGGGCGGTTTTCCAGTCAAGTGGGATCTGACCTTGATCCAGAGACAGTTGGAATAGCTTTGCTAGGCCTGGAGACAACTCTTCTGATGCAAGTTTGAGGAGCCTAGTGGGTATCTTGTCTGGGCCTGGAGCCTTGTGTGGCTTAAGATTTGACCTTTTCCAAAACCTAGTTAAACACCATTTTCCGGTACGTTACAGATTTAGCTCTGGGGAATTACACCAAATGAAATACATAACACAGTTACATGACATTTCTATTTTTCCATCATTCTTTTACTGTTTAAGGTGAAAAAATTGATGTTTTTGAAAATTATCAATATTCCTTTAATATCTATTGCAAATTTTTCAAAAAAATAAATTGTTTATAATGAAAATCAATAAAATTTAAACAGACATAGTGGAATCTTCCATAATAAATAAGGTTATTTTCTGCGTCAACTTGTGTATTTACTTTATTTTTTGTATGGAATTATTCATACAATGATATTTAATTACTTTCTTATAAAGAAATAACTGTTTTATTTTAATTTAATTTAAAACAAGGGTGCCATAGTCACAAAATACGCCCGTTTACGAAAGCTTTAGCTGGAGATGGGGGCATTATTGATAAGTGTTATCTAGCAAGCAAGCTTTTATTCTTGGCACTGTGTTGTTAAATGAACCTTAAAACAAATCAGTAGGGAAGATATGCACAGGATGTGTGACCTTGACCTTGGTCGCAGGGGACCTGAATTTTATGCACGGCACTCAGCCTCACAATGATGAACATTTGTGCCAAATTATATTGAAATCCCTCTATGCATGTAGAAGTTTTGCTCCAGACAAGCGTTTTTCTATGAGCTCTAACTGTGACCTTCACCTTTGACCTAGAGACTTGGTTCATGTGCAGGGCACTACGTCTCATGGTGGTGAACAATTCTATAAAGTAACATTAAAATTCCTCCATGCATGTAGAAAATACGCTCCGGACAACATCTGGATATTAATCATCTCCAGTGACCTTGACCTTGCAAATATTAACCTAAATTAAATGTGTCACACCTGTAGTCATGATAGTTACCATTTGTGCTACAATCCATCAATAAATGATGACTAAATGGTCCCTATACACATCTTCAAATTTTTATCTGAACTTTGACCTCTATGTGTAACCTTGACTTTGGTCGCAGGGATCTGAATTTTGCGTGCGACACTCAGCCTCACAATGGTGAACATTTGTGCCAAGTTATATTGAAATCCCCCTATGAATGTAGAAGTTTTGCTCCTGACAAGCGTTTTTCAATGAGCTCTAAGTGTGACCTTGACCTTTGACCTGGAGACCTGGATCATGCATGGAGCAATACATATCATGGTGGTGAACATTTCATAAAGTATTATAAAATTCTTCCATACATGTAGGAGATATGCTCCAGACAAAATCTGGATATTTCACCATCTTTAGTGACCTTGACCTTGCATATATTGACCTAAAGTACATGTGTCACAGCCGTAGTCATGATAATGACCATTTGTGTTACAATCCCTCAATAAATGATGATTAAATCGTCCCTATACACATCTTCATATTTTTATCTAAACTTTGACCTCTATGTGTGACCTTGACCTTGGCTGCAGGGACCTGAATTTTGTGCGCAACACTCCGCCTCACAATGGTGAACATTTGTGCCAAGTAATATTGAAATCCCTCTATGCATGTGGAAGTTTTGCTCCGGACAAGCGTTTTTCAATGAGCTCTAAGTGTGACCTTGACCTTTGACCTAGAGACCTAGTTCATGTGCGTGACATGGCTTCTCATAATGGTGAACATTTCTGTGAAATTTCATTAAAATCCCTCCATGCGTGTAGGAGATATGCTCCGGACAAAATCTGGATATTTCATCATCTTTAGTGACCTTGACCTTGTATATATTGACCTAAATTATATGTATCACAGCCATAGTCTTGATAATGACCATTTGTGTTACAATCCCTCAATAAATGATGACTAAATGGTCCATATACACATCTTCATATTTTTATCAGAACTTTGACCTCTATGTGTGACCTTGACCTTGGCTGCAAGGACCTGAATCTTGCGCGCGACACTCCGCCTCACAATGGTGAACATTTGTGCCAAGTAATATTGAAATCCCTCTATACATGTGGAAGTTTTGCTCCTGACAAGCGTTTTTCAATGAGCTCTAAGAGTGACCTTGACCTTTGACCTAGAGACCTGGTTCATGTGCGCGACACTGCTCCTCATAGTGGTGAACATTTGTAAGAAGTTTCATTAAAATCCCTCCATACATGTAGGAGATATGCTCCGGACAAAATTGGACGCCGCCCGCCCGCCAGGGGCGTTCCCATAATACGTCCCGTTTTTCAAACGGGCGTATAAAAAGGCCGAAAACATCGAGTTCGCTATTACGATGGTCCCCTATGGTACCACTGTTCTTATTATTTCCAGCAAATTTTACACATAAAAAAGACCTTGTATTTACTATTTTATTAAATTATGTTAAACTGTCGCATCTTGACTTTAAAATACACATGTCATTCATAGAATAATTCAATGATTTATATTAGAAACATCTATGGTCATTTAGTCATGTTTTGAATGGGAGCTTAAACGGAGAGCACTAAGGTACCGTGGTATGTAAATTGATTGCCCATTTTGGCTTCAGTAGAATTTTTTCAACAGAATATGACATCACTCATGATCACTGCAGTTTCAGCAGACGACCTTTATTTGTCAGAACATGAAATTTTCAGTTTAACCGGTAAATATGGGATAAAATTAAAAAAGTATTTCCAACACACTCGGGCAGCTTTGGTTTTTTCTATCAATGACAGAAATTTATTTAAAATGAAAATATTTCGAATATTTGTTTTCCAAATTCAAAAAAGCAGCACTTCAACTTTCACTTTAATGGTGGAAACATTCGATTGGTCGCATTCAGTGAGTATAGAAACACATTTTCCGATTGCACCGGAATGGGCAAGGACGCGTTACCCGCGGGGAGTACTACATGTATACACTCCATTAGGTAGATTCCCCAGAGCTATGTGTAGTGGAACCCCATTGTATCGTGCTATTCATTGTATCGATCTATTTACAAATCTTTCGATTTTTTTGCAAAATGCACTAGCAACTGATTGCTAACATTTACAACAGTGTCACGAAAATCTTTCGCATTCGTTTTGTGCCGTAAAAATGATAAAAAACATGTTTCCAGTACCGTCAGACTTTGTAGATAATAAATAGACTTAAAATTAGTGTGTTCTTATTAAAAACACATTTACTGCCTGTTGAAAGTTCCTAAATTTATGCTGACATTTTAAAACAGACATCTTTGATTCTAATTGACTGAAAAATCTAGCATAAAGATGGGTCAGACTTCCAAAACTTTGACTAACTGAGCGATTCTCACAATGCATCGATATAATGGCGTGACCTAATTCTTCAACCTGTTTGACATATCTGTAAATAACCGTTTATTCCAAAGCTAAAAACTATATATCAGTGATGTTTGTCATGTAATATTTTTGACAAAAGAATCAAAATAAATGATACAAAATAAAGATTCAGGGAAATTTAAATTTTTTGACTGCAGTTGTGATTTATGAGTATAGATCGATACAACGGGGTTCCAGGCTACAGAAAGTACCGGAAAACGGCGTTTAGCTAGGTTTTCGAATTCGTTTGTTCTAAGCCAACATAAAATAGCACAGTAATATTTTGTTCATATAAATTTATTTATCAAATAAGATTGATGCTTACCAGATTCTTTGTCAAAATCATCTTCCACATCAACCTCTGGGACTGGATTGCTTCTTCCTTTTCCCATTTTCTAAATCTAAGATCTAAATCCTGTTTTCTAATGCTTGATTCAAAATTAGTTCCACTTGTCTAAACTAAACACAGTTCGTTTAACTTTGATCAATTCGCCTCAAGATCTTATCTAAATCCTCATGTGTAGACTAAATCTGCATGAAAAGAAAAAGTTCCCCCTCAAATCAATAAAACTTAATCGAAAGTCGAACACCCTTATCTTAAAATAATTATTTATTCAATTAATTCTAAATTTATCTTTAAAATAGTTTTAATTGCATGTACATTATGTTACACGTTTTTCTCTGAGCCCAACGTAAACAAGGTGATGCAACCGGATGCTTGTTTTTGCTGAAGGCATATTCGTTTCATGCCAATACGGATTAAGGGTTGTCACGTGATCAATGAAAAAAACGATATTACTTTGTCCGTATGTAGCTTAAATAGGTTTATGCAAATGTTTAAAGATATGGGGATTGTAGCAAAATATTTTTAAATTGCTCTTATTAATGCCATTTTCAAGATATACGTTTAAGACTCAACGCTGATGTTTGCAGACGACAAAATTTTATGCGTTTGAGTTTCAAACGAATATTACCATTATTTACCGGAAAATGACGTGGATGACCGAAATGTTACGACTGAGACAATCGCAACTTTTCGGCCTTTTCCGTACGTCTTCGGATAATTTGCCCAAATTCCCATAATTAACCACAATGAAAACACCATACGTTCGTAGTACTATAGTGGATATGGAAAACTCGATAGTAACATTTAACAAATGTGTCCATATATGAAGAAAAAATGCAACACTAATTGCAAACGTATAAAAATCAAAATAGATTTATTTACTGCTTTTTCATGATAGAACCTATTAAAAAACAAGAGCAATGCTATTTTAAAGTGGGGCAATATATGCCCAAATTTAATCAAATACATGTAATCGATCTCTTAGGGAAGAGACCTATTCATTATACTCGGCCAAAAATGTTTTATCTTAATTATCCTAATAATACTAAATAACCCCGAGGAAGCATTTTGTATCAATGCTACATGCCAAATATCTAAGCTCTGTCACATTGTAGTTTCACACAATAAGATTTTAATGTATTTTCCTATACAAGTCAATATAAATCAAGTGATCACAGAGACATTTTGACCAAAGGGGCATAATTAATATCACATAGTAGAGATCTACAAGGCAATGCTGCTACAAGCTTAATATCTAAACTTTAAGATTAGAGCTTAGTGTGATATAGATTTGTCATTGATCAACCACCATGCTGTAATGTTCACTGTCTTTGTATCATGCTGCCCATCCGTTACCTGACAAAACAGTGGAATAAAGGTGGGGGGGGGGGATCTATGTCCTATGGACACATATCTAATTTTAGTGATTTTGCTACTGATAAAAGCACTGATGAAACGGAATAAGTTTGAACAACGAATTTATCTTTAAAAAAACTTACAATTTAAAAAAATAACAGTTGGTTCACGTGTATGCGCTGCTAAAGACAACTAGAACTCCGCGAGTCGGATGTGTCGCCTTGTGAACAATATAGTTTAGGAGAAATGGCCCGGACAAAAATGAAATTTGAAAATCATCAAAGGGCAATAACTCAAAAAAATAAGAAATGCAGAGCAGCAGTTTCTGTGCACTGCACTTCTTCTCAATAAGATCTATCATCCTATTAAGTTTCAAGTCTAAAGCTTTTATACTTTAGGAGAAATGGCCTGGACAAAAAACAAGAATGAAAATTAACAAAGGGCAATAACTTAAAAAATAAGAAATGCAGAGTACCAGATCTTTGGCACTGCACTTCTTCTTAATGAGATCTACCATCCTGTGAAGTTTCATGTCCTTAGCTTTTATACTTTAGAAGAAATGGCCCGGACAAAAATACAGTATGAAAATTAACAAAGGGCAATAACTCAAAAAATAAGAAATGCAGAGTACCAGTTCTTGTTCACTGCACTACTTCTTAATGAGATCTATCATCCTGTGAAGTTTCAAGTCCATAGATTTTATACTTTAGGAGAAATGGCCCGGACAAAAATAAAGTATGAAAATTAACAAAGGGCAATAACTCAAAAAATATGAAATGCAGAGTACCAGTTTTTGTTCACTGCACTACTTCTTAATGAGATCTATCATCCTATGAAGTTTCAAGTCCATAGATTTTATACTTTAGGAGAAATGGCCCGGACAAAAAAAAAGTATGAAAATTAACAAAGGGCAATAACTCAAAAAATAAGAAGTGCATGGTACCGGTTCTTGTGCACTGAACTACGGGTCATTATAAGAAGCATGCATAGCAAGTTTGAAGTCAATCCGACTTATAATGACTGACTTGTGCTCCTGACAAGCTTAAGGGGACACCGACGCCGATGACGACAACAACGCCGACACCGCCGACAAAAGTAACCCCTATATGTCGCCTTTTTTAAGGCGACACAAAAACAATAACAACATAAGCCATTTCACTGTACATAACACAAGTTTGAATGCAGTAATATATTCAGATTTGGAAAAGGGGTTGGCCCCTACGAATAAGGCACTCAGTATAGGGATATTTTTGTTTGAGTATGGATGCACTTGTTTGACAAAAGAACATTTGTATTAATTTATCCTTTTTTTATTAACGTAATTTGATGATGGTTGTCACTGCCAGAATAGTAGCAATACTTGAAATCTTAATACTTTCATGATAAATGATGCCCTCGTGCACTCAAATTGTACTCCACCTACAATTTTAAGTACTTAATTGATTTATGTTTTCATTTTAATGATTTTGTTTACATATTAAACCCCAGAAGCACACTACTCAACGGTTTGAGCAGTCCGCTAGCTCAAAAGGACAAAAGACTCACACTAACGTTTCATTTATTCTTGAATTCCTAGAGTGGAAACACTTATCAGCTTATCTGGGCCAATGTTAGTCTTATTGCTTGATTATATATAAAGAAACTTATGATATGGTAATTCGTATGACATAAAATCGTTAATAACATTGTTAATTTAAGCATGTCCCTGAAGTGATTACACGATCTTAATTGTGTGTGAGATATACTGAAAAAAAGTACTGATGTTTAAACAACGACTTTTCCTAAAGAAAACACTTTTTCAAATAAAGAACAGTTGGTTCATGTTTTTTGCGCTGCCGGGTTCAAAAACAATAACAACATGAGACGTTTCAATGTATAATAAAATACGTTTGAATGCAGTAATATGTTCAGATTGGGAATAGGGGATGGCCCCTTGGAAAATGTTGCTGGCTCGGTTTGGTTGAGCCTGTTCATGTAAGTTCATGCAATCTTTCATAAGTAAATCAATACTTATATATTTATTTTGTATAAATTAATCAGATGACCATAGTCTGCCATCAATCGTTAAATTTTACTGAAAATGGCATAACCCCAACAATCCAATTTCTCCTTTCAAAAGATTCTCCGATCACATTTTAGGCATCAGTTAATCCTTCTAAAATATATCTTTATGAATTTCGCTTGTTAGCACCAACAGATTACATAGCTGTGGGCAATAATTAGTTGTCATCCATTCTATTTTAGCATTTTTTTAAAGGTGTCTATATACAGTACGCATAACCTATTAAAACACAAGTCGGCAAGAGATGTGTTCATTGCAATGGAAAATGTTATATTTTTATTTTCAATACTTTCTAGGATTTTCGTAATCGTCCCTGAGATCAACTGTTTCCTTTCATCCTCAAATATAATGATGCACGTCTGGATGTGGATTTTGGTATTTTTACCATTTTTCTCACAAGTGTCATTTCCGGTTTAATTTCCAATTAGCAGACAATTAATTTTATGTGGAAAAAGGTAGATATCTGCTCACATTATTTCAGAAAATAACATATTATCTTTGTAACTTTTGAATTGAACATGTAATTTTCACTTTTAACCGCATATATTTATGATGAGAGCATGTGTTCAATTGATACCGCGATAATAAAGTGTACTAGTTTTCGGATAGACAAAATGATAGCTTATTCATAATTTATAGATGAAATATTGTAAAATGAGTAATATGTTTTCTCAGCTACTATCTTTAAGATTTTCATTAAGTTGATGTTATCAATTTTGTTGTCCAATCTCATGATATTAGAATTACTAGAATGTTGTTTTAGATTTTTTAGATTTTGTTTAGAAATTTATTTAACTACTGAATCACTGATCCACTGGCACTAGACTTGAGCCTGTGGTAAGTTAATGATTCACTTCGTATAGACTTGGTCTGCATCAGTAGATACTTTTTGGTTGATTCTTGTGATGAACTTTATAAATCTATGTCCCCACGCAGAGTTTGAAATTTTACAGGGAAATAAACAGGGTTCTCACTAGGACTTTAAAACATGGAGTCCATGGACTCCCAACCCTGAAAAAGTTGGAGTCTAAAAGCGCGTCACAATAAATATGTTTACAGATTAGTCATTCAATGCTCACAATAGCATTGCTGATATTTTGAATCTTCAAGAGACTTCCAAAGTTTATAGTTATTCAAAAGAAACTCTGAACTACATAGTATAATTATTGTTTTGTTGTTGATATTTATTATGAAATTATTTCATTATAATGCATCAACACATGGAAATCGTTTGTTTGTTTTTTTTCCACTTTTATACCAAATCAAATTTCATTCTGGTTAAATAAGTCCACTCTAAAGACAAAAAGTTTATATTTGTAAAAAAAACGTAAATGTATATAGGCAGCGTTTAGCGGAATGAATAGGAAAATCGTGTACAGCTTCAAACAGTGTGTAAGAGATTCATCCGATCGACAATTATTTTAGCAAATATCTTCAAAAGGGGGCAAATTGAAGATCGATATTTAAAGATTTAATGTTGATTAAATAATAAAGGAACAATTCATTCGCATGTTTGGCTTGGAAACCGAGAATTTTTGCGAAATTTTAGGGTTTCTGGCGAACGTGAAATCGCCGATGTTCGGGATCAATTTTCGGATAGAATCTAAATATCAAAGAAAAGCGTATGTGTATTTTGGTTTGTTGTCCTGGCATTTCGGCACAATATCTTAAATTCTTAATAGCCTTATCGAAAGTTCTTGCAAGAATGAAACTAAAGCAAAATTGTGCATAGAAAATGCCTAAAATATTCGACAATCATTCAAAATTACACTCATTTGTCATTTTAAACTTGCGGCGTAAATAGTCGATAATGTTATCCTTTTGTCGATAAAATTTGCTAATTTCCAATCAACTGTTGATCAAAGATATAAAATTATCACCTCGTGTTATATCTGGTAATTACATGTACTGTACAGCGCGTGTATACATTAGTCTGATCACTATTGAGTGATAATGATCGTAAGCGTTATCACTG